GCCAGGGTCACTGGATCACAGTGAGATATGTAGTATAAGAATTAATGAGAAGAAACCAAAATTCAGAGAACTGAGACTCCATTAAGCCGATTTGCCAAAAGTCACATAGCTAGTAAGCAGCAAAGCCCAGATCAGTTGAAGGAACTGGGGATGTTTAGACTAGAGAAGATTTAGAGGGGGTATAATAATAATAATAATCACAGCTACCATTTATATTGTCCTTTAAGGTTTGCAAATCACTTTATATATGCTGGCTCATTTGATCCTAACTATAACCCCAGGATCTAATAACCCTAGGTGGTAATAAGTGACCTGCCCAGGATCATAAACTAGTAAGTGCCTGAGGTCACATTTGGACTCAGGTCTTCCCGACTCCTAGCCGCACTGCACTACTTAGCCATCTTGTATGCCCAATACGATAGTAATCTCCTAATATTTCAAAGGCTGTAATACTCTGCTCAGTCCCAAAGGGAAGAACTAGGAAAAGTAGGGAGATTCCAAGTCCAGGGATCCTTCTACTCTTCCTTCCTGCCGCTCGACCAGACAGACAGTTGACTGTACAGAATTCTGTACTACTAAGGTAAAGGAAGGGAATCGATTTCCAAGAGCTGGTTACTTCTTGCACCAGGATCTAGGCTGTTATCTTCGGCCTGAATCAATAATCAATTCTCAAAGTTAGACGAGACCTTGGATTTTGTGTCCAACCTGCAATTAAATATATATCCCCTCCACAACATTCCTGTGTTCCAAGTGACCTTTGATTGAGGACTTCTCGTGATGAGGAACTCACTACCTACCAAGAAGCACTGCCCAGAGGGAGATTACGATTTAATGAGTCCACAACTTCACCATTTTGGTTCCCCTGATAAAAACAAGATTGGGCTTCCCTTCCAGACCCAAGAAAATGAAACATCTGCTTTGTACTGAAGAAGCCCTTGCCCTATCATGTATCCTGAAAAATATCAATATCAAAATAAGGAGAAATATTGAAGTGTTTATTAGCGAAGATGAAACAGATCACTCATTCCCTGCCAGAGAGGCAATGAACTTAAAATGCAGGAAAAGATATACATTTTTGGACATGACTAATGTGGCAACCATGTAGATAAATATTGAAGGTTTTTTATTTTTTGTTTTCATTTAGTTTCCTTAATTGGAGAGAGTTTATGGAAGTGACAGGTTAATATTTAAAGATACTTGTTAGTTATAAAATTTAAAAATAAAAAAATTTTGAAATATGTATGTATGTATATATGTTGATCCATTCAACTGAATCCAATTCAGCAAGGCTGCCATGTGCCAGGCACCCTGAGGGGGAGAGAAGATGCAATTCAATTCAAGAAATATTTATCAAGCATTTAGCTTCTGGCAAGTATTTTACAAATGGAGAAACTGAGACCCAAAATAATTAAGTAATGTGCCTGGTACATAATAATGCTTGTAGATTGCTTGATGTGCCAGGAATAGGACTAGGAATCCCATACTCATTTTAGGTCACGAGAAACAATGAACAGACTTGTCCTAAATATATTAGGCACAAGTTATAATAAATGGAAAATCCAGTCAAGGAAACAATGTATAGCAAAGAATAGTTACTTCTTTTGATGACTTCTTTTGACTTACAGCTGGGCCTTCACAGTTCACAACCTCACTGGTCTTCTTCTGGGCTTTCAAGAGAGAAAAATTCTGAGGAAAGATTCGGGGGCAGGAAACCGCCATGGCAATTAATGCTTCTGGGTGTGCATTTTCCAGAGAAGCTGCCAGTTCTTAGGATAGCATCTCAGCTAGTCTTCTAATTAGCCAAATACAAACAAACCCATCATTTGTGTTTTCTGCAGCTCATGAGAGCAAAGTCCTGCTGCTCATAGCTTGCAAAACAACCATATGCAAGAATGAGCCAAGATGCCTGCAGGAGGCCCAAGACTCATAACAGGGCAGGGGGATCCAGGGGAGAGGGCAAAGAGGGGAGGAGGAGCCCGCTGCAAGGAGAGCAGCAGCAGTGAAAAGAGTAGAACAGGGAGCCCCACCCCTTCACCACTACCTAGCCCCATCCCGCCTCTCTCACCCCAACCCTGATTCAGGGCAACTCACTCACCTGGGCTCCTCTCCCATAGCGCAGCAGAAGGAAATAGGGGCAGGAAGCAGTGGCCTTAGGAAGCTGAGCTTGCTGGGTTCTAAGCACCCTCAACTGCACATCAAGATAGCCAGTTTTGTCCAAGTTTTTGTTTATGTTACAAGAGTAATTGCAGAAACCAGGTTGTGAAACACCTGATAGAAAGTCATTGGTCCTTCTAATGCAGAAGGCAGATCCTTTGATTATGACTGGTGCTGGTCCCTCCCAAGGGTAACCTGCTCACATCCCTAGGAGGCCACTCGGGATTTAGGATTAGAAGGCAATTTAGAATTTATCTAGTCCAACCCACCATACAAGGCAGCAGTCCTTTCTGCATCAAGCAGCAAGGATGCTGAAGAAAGAAAAAGGAAATAAAAGGATACTGTAATCAGTGGTAATCTGGCCTCTCCTTGAACATTTCTAGTGGGAAGAAGCTCACTGACAAACAGGGCATTTAGTTCTTTCAATTTTTTAAATCCTTGTGTCTAGACAAACACAATCTCGTGATTACTTCTTTTTATTGGTTCTAGTTTTGCCTTCTAGAGTAAGACACAGTCTGTCTGCTCCCTCTTCCAAATGACCAAGCTTTAAGACATTTAAAGAGAGGGATTGGGCTTCTCCAGATCTTCTCTTCTAAACACCTCTGGTTCCTCCAACCATTTCTCATATGACGGTTTTGAATCCTCAAGTCTTGTCTGTAATGTTAACTAGCCATATGACCTGGGCAAATTACTTAACCTCTCTGAGCCTCAATTTACTCATTTGTCAAATGAGAATGACACTAATTACACCACTTAGAACACAAGGTCATAGTGAACAAAGCATTCTGAAACCTTAAAGTGTTATATAAAAGTGAGCGGCCATTGCATCCAGACCTGTGATTTTGTTCATGTGAAAGATTCCGAGTGTACAGACTCCCTCCACTGAAACAGATCAGCAACTCCTATATAAATTAGCATCTTAAAAAATTGACTGGAGCCCTGGGAGATCAAGTAGTTTGCCCACAGTGAGTATGTGTCAGAGGCCAGATTTCACCCCAGATCTTCCTAACTCCAAGACTAGCCTCCTATCCATGTCTCTCAAGCTGTTATTATTCTCTCAAAATGTAGTGCCTAGACCTGGACAAAAACAACAGACACGATCTAAACAAGGCAGCATAAAGTAAGGGGAGCCCGTTTCTCAGATCTCAACTAGACTTGCCAATATCATGAAGGTTAGCTAACGTCAGAGAGAGTGACTAGAAGGGAGGTGGCATCTCCTGACCTCTCCATCACTCTCCCAAGCAAAGCAGAGGTGGCCTGTGGAGAAGGGAGCACTCACTTTGGGAGCTGCCTTGCTTTGCATGGCAGTAGATTAACTGATCCATGCTCTGCCCTGGTTAAGCCAAAGGTCAAAAGTCGTCAACAGATCCTGGCCGGCACAGGCCTTCTGGATGCTTCAGCCAAGAATAAAGACTTACAGGACTACATTGTCAGTTTAAAGAACTTGACTCATTAGAATTTAAATTAGACCCTACGTTGTGAGATCGGATTAATGATTTGTCATTTTCATTGAGTATTTATCTATTATTCATTGCAAAAAGGGGGGGGCATTCCTAAGTGCTTTGAGTCCCATAAAGGCTTAATTGGTGGATGGAAGAGATAACTGAATAAAGCTAAAAGGCTGTTCCAGGAGGCCACACAACCTTAAACACCAGGCACTGGCTGTTGTTTGTTGTTGTTATTGGTGTTGTGTTATTTAGTCATTTCAATCCAGACTTGTCTGGCTCTTTGTGACACCGTTTGGGATTTCCTTGGCAAAGATACTGGAGTGGTTTGCCACTCCCTCTGCAGCTTATTTTATAGATGAGGAAACTGAGGCAAACAGGGTTAAGTGACTTGCCCAGGGTCACACATCTAGTGTCTGAGGTCTGATTTGAACTCAGGTCTTCCTGACTCCAGGCTCAGCACTGTACCACAATCTAGTACTTCTATATTCTGTTCCTCTTAACAAAAATGCCATATTGGCCCACATCATCCCAGCTTTACCCCAGCCCTGCCCTCTTTGCCTCTCACCCTTTCCCTCCCTCTGCACGAGTTACCAGAGCTGGAACTAGCAATGTAGGTAGCCAGGCCCCGAAGCTGAGAACTGGGTGGGTGGGCAGAGAGATCCCTCAGGGCACAAGGCCAGGGGAAGAGAACCCACTCTACCATTTTGACCAATCAGAGAATGATAAGAACATAGATTTTGAGCTAGAAGGGGCCTCAGAGGTCATCTAGCCCTTCATTTTAATGATATGGAAACTGAGGTCTTGCCCAGGATCACATAGCTAGTAAGAGACAGGGTTAGGATTTGTGTCTAGGTCTGACTCGCAAACTAGCACTCTTTGGGAGTGAAGTCAGGAATTCCAAAACACTACCTCCCTCCTCCCCTAAGAATGATACCATGAGGCCAATGCTCATAGGGTTCCCAGCTAGGAAAGGGGACAGGGCAGGCCAAGGCTTACCTGGGGTCTGAAGGGAAAAGTGGTAAACTAGCTATTCCCAATATTAACAAAATTATTCTTGTTAACTAGTCAATAAGTTTAGTTGTTTCTACCTCCTGAAGGAGTACAAGTTTTATCAACAGCCTGGGAAAAGTCCCAATCAATCCACCCTCAATAGCTCTACATATTATCTAAAACACAAATTTTACATTTCCCTACCTTTCCAAGGTAGCTAAGATAATGATACACACCTCTTTGCTCTGTCGATGCCCTAGCTCTTCTGGCTCCACTCACCTTTCCTAGGCTGAGACACAAGGCAGCCCCTTGTTTCCTACATTGACTTCTTTCCCACCCTGCTCTCCTCCAATTCCCCTTACCTCTATTCTCTTTCCTGCTTATTTGACTTGCCTATTGTCCCTACAGGTTACCCTCAGTACCTAGTGGTAGGAAACCACTTGTCTGGGGAGCATCATCTGAAGATTCTTCGGGCAGAGCTGCAAGATGATGCTGTATATGAATGCCAGGCCATCCAGGCGGCCATCCGGTCACGCCCAGCCCGCCTCACTGTTCTTGGTAAGAATTCTGGCCTTGACAAGTGGTGGGAGTGTGGATTGACATAGGGGAAGTCCAATGGGTCCATACAGAAAGAGCATTTATGGAGAACAGAGGTCTCCTGACAACTATATCTGCCAACTATAGCTAGGTGGACCATGCTCATAAGCCTTCAGTGACTCCTGATTGTGTCTAGGGTTTAAAAAGAAAAAAGAAAAATCTCTTTAATTTGATATTCAATACTTTCCATAATATGGCTTTCCCCTATCTTACCAACTTTAGGTAATGTTACTCCCCTTCACATACTCTACATTATGGTCAAACTGGACTATGAATTGTCGTTCCCCCAACCTCAACAGACGTCATCCCCACTTCTGTACATGAAAATGGTTCCCTTGGTCTAGAATGGCTTGCCTCCTTATGTCCACCTTTCAGAATCCTTCCATTCACCAACAGTTCAGCTCAGATACCACCTCTTCTGTGAAGTTTCCTTGATTCCTGTATTTTCTCCTCCTCACCCCACGTCCCTCCTTAGATTCCCCTAGATCCCTTCATCTATTCTCTCTTCGGCCTAAACTATCCCCACTTTATATTGTATTTGTCTGTGTACAGATATGGTAGAATATAATCTCCCCAAAGTAAAGCACTGAATCTTGGTTTTTATCTCTGTATTACTCACAGCTAGGAGATAGTAGGTGCTTAATAAATGCTTCTTGTATTGAACTGAAGCTTAAGCCTTAAAGCTCAGGGCTTTGCTGCTCCCTTCCTGAACTTCTCCCTTACCCTACCCTAACCTTTTTTCCATATCACATAATATTAGTCATAACCCTTTTTAATAATAATAGCTAGCCTAGTATCTATTATGTGCCATGCTCTGTGTTAAGCATTTTACAAATATTATCTCTTTTGATCCTTATACCCTGGGAAGTAGGTGCTATTATTATCCCCATTTTACAGTTGAGGAGACTGAAGCAAAAAATGTTAAATGACTTACCCAAGGTCACACGGTTAGTAAGGGTCTAAGGCTATATTGGAACCCAGGTCTTTCTGACTCCAGGCCCAGAGCTCTATTCACTGCTCCACCAGCTGCCATAATATTTTAAAGTCCTCCTTTCATGGCTCCCATCAGCTCCTAATCTTCCTGGGAAAGCATGCCCAAAGCAGTCACCCCTCCTTAATTCAGGCAGTCTTATACAAAGGCAGACAAATGAATCCAATGGATATATAAGGTCTGAAATTCTCTAAGCCCCCCATATTTTCCCTCTCAACTTTCAGCCAATCCATCAATAATGTGCAGTGAATATCCATTGTGTGTCAAGCCTCATAAATACTAATAATATTGTACTTTTTTATAGACACAATATGATGTAATGGGTAGTGTTGGACTCTCTAGGAATTATCTACTGAGTTATAGTTGAGTTACAATCAACATTGATGGGAGAAGTTCCTGCACTAACAAAATCACAGACATCTGACATAGTTGTTGTAATGTTTGCATCAGACATTATCATTTTTCAGCACATTTTCACATTACCTCATTTAATCCTCACGATAAGCTTGGCATGCAAGTGTTGTCATGCCTATTTTGTGGATGAGAAAACTGAGGTTCTGAGATGTTAAGAGACTTGCCCAAGGTTATATGACTAGTGCATAGTGGAGCTGGAATAAAAACTTAGATAATTTGACTCAGTCCAATGGTTTTTCCATTGTACCACACTACTGTACACATCAAGGCAATATTAAGCCCCAGCATGGGATCAAGCATGTGATGCCAAAGCAAGAAAGATCACCAACTCTACCTACCCCACCTGTGAGCCAGAGCCCATGTCTGACAGCAGGCTCAGTAGCCTGGAATGCTGCCTCCTTGTATGGGCAGATGAGAAGCAGCACTGCTGTTCAGAGATTAAATATTTAAGAGTTTGTCACATTGTTTTCAGATCTACATGGCTAAATGCATGGGGACAGATCTTTCCAAACGCTCCAGCAGACTGGCCCCTCAGGATCACTTACTAAGAGCCAAGTTGAGCTTCTAGAGATGGGAAGGATGAGCCCCCTAAGTAAACCTCAGAAATCTCCCTTAACCTTTGGTTTTCCTTTATAGTAAGAAAAAGGGAAAGGCAAAGGTTAAAGGAGCTAGAAGTACAGATTAAGGAAAACACAGGAGAACAAGAACTATATTCCCTCCTGAAAAGGAAGATCCTAGAAGGGGCTCTGTTAGAGCTCGTAGAATTGCAAGATACCAAGGGTGGTAGAAGGAATCTTGGGAGGTAATAGGCCTTAATGGAAACCATATGGCCCATCCCCATGACTCCAGATAGGACCCTAACAAAGCTACCCTAGAGAGATGAGACTGACAAAATGCCTTATACGCTGGCAATATTCAGGAAATATTATGACTTGCAAAGAGGGGAGGAGAGGAAGGGAAAGGAAGGGAGGGAAGAGGAGTTGATGAGGGCAAGGCAAGAGAGAGGAGGAGAAGGTAAGGGAGGGGATGATAGGGAAAGAGAGGGGAAGGGATGGGAGAGAAAGGTGGGCTATACCATGATATGGAGTCGGCCAGTAAGAAAAATATACAGGCTCCTAAGAACTTTCAGCCTAGAATAAAACAGTAGATACCTCTTTTCCCTCTTCCTAACCCTTCCCCATTAAGGAACCTAAAGCCTTTCCAGGATAGTTTGTGGTCCTTGCCTTCCTTTATTTTCCTTAATCTGTACCTCTAGCTTACAAGACATATTTCTGAGAATAGTGTCTTGGGATCAGAGGTGAACAGCCCTCACTTCACTGTGGGTTACATTCCAATCCTCCTGATGCTTTATGATGCCTAGAGGCAGCCCATAGAACTCTTCTCACTTCTGCCTGCCCCCATCCCCTGCCTGCACAGCCTTGGACTGCCCACTGAACAGTGGATATCTATGTAAGTGATATTCCTCTGGGATTCAGAGATCAGATGGGGTACATGGGCTATTTCCTGATCTCAGTCTGGCCCAAGACCCTCCCCTCTGAGGAAAAGAAAGTGACCATAAGAGGTAATGTCATCCATGTCAGCAAGGGACCAGACAATTCCCAGGTGAGGAAACTCCTTTTACCAAAGCAGGTCAGCACCTTCTTTGCAACTTAAAGCCTTGGAGAGTTGCCTAGAGCCATGGGAGGTTAAGTGATTTGCCCAGAGGTACACATCCAAGACATGTCAGAGGCAAGGTTTGAACCTAGGTCTTCTCATGGTGCTCTGCTGCCTCTAGTAAGAGCAATAACAACTGGATTTGGAGCTTGAAGGACCTGGTTTCAAATCCTGCCTCAGACTATGATTCCACCCCAAATCTAGTCCTCTTTCCACCATCCACTCCCAAACCAGGACCTCCCAAATCCCTGCCTTAATGGAGGACCACACCTCTAAACATACCCAACAGTATCTCCACAGCTAGAGAGTCTCTGGTTCCATCACACTCAAGACTTTCTGAATACCACATGGATGCAATCAATTCTCCTGATTGGCTAGGTTCCTTTCATCGGTATCCAGTCCACCCATACCCTGCCCCGCCTTTAGCCCTGGGGAGAAACTTCACATAGGAAACAAGGACAATACTTTAACCTGGAAAGATGGAGCAATCTCCATTTCTTTTCATTTGGAAGGCCTAGGGAAGTGGAAAGAGTTGTCCACCTAGCACCTAGCTGACTCCCCCAACAAAGACCCCATCTGCTTTGCCACAACATCCTAGATCTGAAAATGTCCTTTCATATCCCCAGAGGGGCCAATGTTCCCTGCATGCCAGGAATAGGAGAGCTTCCTAATTTAGTCTGTATTTGCCTGAGATAGATTTTTAATTAAATAAAGTAAGAGCGTGATTAGAACCTGTAGAAAATGTGAGAGTCGAATCAGATGGTATTCCAGGAAAATTGCACAGCAAACACTTTGGCTGGAACCTCTGGAGGTCCCAGAGGTCCTCCATCAAAGCACCAAGTGAGGAGGGCAAATACAAGAGATTATATAGCCAACAGATGTGTGTTGTTAAAATATGCATCTGCCAGCAGCGTATTTTGAGAAGCCAGAGGGCTAGCTTGCAGAGCTGCCTGGGCTCATGAGACAGCATGCGTGCAGACCTCAGGCTCCCCCCCCCCCCACGGCAGCCAAGCCCAGAGTCACAGACACATAAATTAGCATTGTGTTCCCAGCTCGCTGATGCGATCAGCCAAGCAGCAACTTTGAACACAGAATTCGCTTCATTGGAAGGCCAGGGGCAGAAAGGAGAGGAGAGGAGAAGAGAGGAAAGGGAAGGGAAGAAAGGAGAGGGAAAGAGAGGAAAGAAAGAAAAAAGGAGAGGAAGGGCACTGAGCAAGCAAGACTGAGCAGAGCCCTAGTTTCAGCCCTAGCCCTTGTCAGCCAAGGGCATAGAATCCATAGTCATGCTGCTTTGCCTTTGGTGAACAAGCCAACTATAGGGCCCTAGATTCTGTGGCTCTTATCCCTCACCTTGGCTAGGTCAAGGCTGTCTGTGTTCTGAACCCCAAATGTCTTGGACAGAGACAACTGGTATATAGCAGAAAGATGACTGGAGCTTGGGAAAGATAATGTAGTCAGATAACTAATTTCCATATCTCTGGGGTGGTTTAGAGTTAGGGTCATACCTGGAGTATGGACTAGCTGACCTCCCAAGTTTCCTTTAGTCAGTCAGTCAACAGGCATGTATTAAGTGTTAACTGCATGCCAGGCACTATGCTAAGCACAGGGGATACAAAGAAAGGGAAAAACAGTCCCTGCCCTCAAAGAGCTCACAGTCCAAGAGGAGAGAGAGCCTGTTGGATTCTATGATCCTATGATCAACAAACCATAAAAAACAAGAAAGGGAAGTACTAGCTGAAGAAAAGAGAAAAACCTGGTGTCCTCTCTGTGAAGGAAGGAACTTGCAAACCTGCTAAATGACCAAGCACCAGAGACTATGTGTAGTCATGCAACACGAGGACACATGCACGCATATGCATGAACATATACACACATAGGTAGTGGATGCATAGGCATAAATTTG